ACTACCTCGCCTTTCCGAGAAACCGAAAGGACGCTAGTCTTAAAAATTCAATATTAATGAATCCCGCCCTTTCCGAGAAACGGCAACAAAATTACAAAATCATCGTCTGATGATTGCTCAATCGCCAGCTGCGCCTGCTCTACTCTATCCTATGGTTTTATAGCGACGAATGTATCCATGCAAACAGACTTAAAAATGCAGAACGAAATAAACTCAGAAGACGGTTTGAATTTGTTTTGGGATGGCGGCTTATGATGCAGCGCTAAACTCACTGTGGCTTTAAAACATTTATTATGGAGTTTTGACAATACGGTGTTTTCCCGTTAAAGCAGGTGCACTCACGACTGTTTTCTTCAAAATATCTGTTCGAAGAACCAAATATTGACTCAAAATTTCCAAAGCTCGAGAAAGGCTGAACGTTTCTTGATTTCCAGTTTTATCGCAGATTTTCGAAAAATTTCAGAAGTTTACAATAAATCTTGAACTGCCTCGCAAGTTGAAAACAAATACTACTACCAACCAGAGCAGACTAATAACTATTAGTTTTCCGTGGAACATGAATTTGAGAGGTCTTATTTGCATTCAGAAAATTTAACTCACTTAGTTATACTCCCGTAAAACGAGAGTAAATTTAGCCAAAGGGGTGTAACAATGGTTAGTTTACCTGGACAAGAACGTCGACAAGAGCATGCAAGATGCTATGATTGAAATGGAGCACGGAATAACTGTAGCATTTAGCTAATAAATTTAAAATTATCAATTCATTTATGGCAGCTTTTGCAACATTCAAAGGCACAGAACGTTTCAAAAAAGCATGTTTTAGACATAAAGAAATAACAGCTCGAAGCAAATTTTTTGCCCATAAGAATTCAGAATCGAGCTGGAGTTGGTGGGGCCTCCCCACTTTTTGAAAAAAAAAAAGAAAGAAATACACATTTTCAAATAAAAAGAATCTTTGATGGAATAAGAATATTCGTCTGGCGGACCTCACCGAAGCATCCAAATTTATGATTAGTCCGTTTCGACCCTATATCATCAGTGGTAAGCCTCAAAACGACTATCTTTACAAAACTGCACTTAGACGTAGACTTCTGCGTTTTCACCAGCCATGCACGAGATGTAGTATAAGCACAAACAATGGAGTCTTGTTTTAATCAAGGTTTTTAAATCTCCACGGAGCTATGATTTCTTAAGACAATAACTTGAACATGAAGAAGTTTCAGTAATTACCTCAACAAGCATGATAAATGAAATTAGCAACCGCCCCGATCTGCAAACTTCTGTTGGTAAATCCTTCAGCAGCAGGAAAAGGTCTTTTTCGGCAGCTCGAAGGTTAAAACATGGCTCCGTTCAACAATGACTAAAGAAAGGTTCTAAACAGCCGCAAGGAGAGAACGGGCAATCTCTGAAGTGAATGAAACGCGAAAACTATGATGCTGCACTGTGCATGGTTACACTCTTTTGTTACTGACTCCTTCTCGTTTGTTAAACTATTAAAAAAATGATTGATGAGCTGTAACTCTATTAAAAAATATTGAGTCGGTACCAGGTAAACCATTTTTAAAGTCCAGAACGCCACAACCAACCCCCCCCCCCCCCCCTCCCCCCCCCCCCACCCCCAACCACAACTCAAAAGGCGACGGCCCCCCGCCCTTTTAAAACCCCCTTTTGGCCCCCGAGAAAAGAAAATCTTCTCTCCCCCCCTTTTCCGGAAAAAAAAACAAATTTGTGCAAACCACTTACTCCGACAACCCCCCCCCCCCCCCCCCCCACTTCGATTCACCCCAACCTCAACTACACTTCAAGAGGTGATCGGCCCCTGGACTTTGAAAACTGCTCATTGGGCCCTGATGAAAGAAACTCTTCTCTGACCACCTTTTCGAGAAACAGAAACAAGTTTGCGACAGTCACTTACTCGGAACCGGAACGTCTTTGTTTTATGCGGACAACCAAGCGAACAGTCCCCGTGAAAGCACGCAAGGAAGCTTCAGAACATTTCTTTCTTTTATCAAACAAATGGCAAAATTGTCAATGCGAGGCCATTTCCGAGTTGCCTTAAGCCTCTGTTTCAAAGCGAGGCTAAATAAGTGCTAAGCCATTGTTAAGAAAATGACTTTTTATTCTCGTGCAAATAAAACTCATTTTCACTTGAAAGATTTTCCACTTAGCTTCGTTTTGAAAGAGAGAGATTTGAAACTCGAAAATGACCTATTGTTTATTGCAGTCAGTCGCCCTGAACGCTAATGCTTCACTGAATGCTGCCACCGGTACCGGCTGCCGGTAACAAAAACATTTCCGGGAAAGACCGTGATGCAGGCATGCTCTCAGTGCTAATCCTTTTAGCCCCAATATCCACACACATTCATTCTCCAGACCGATCTGCTCAGGATTTGGTTGAGAGTATTGCCATGAAAGATGGCAAAGCACTTTCCCTTAGGCGATCATTTCATTCATTTTCATAGCTTTTTCTCTTGATTATGCACGGGACGCCACAGGGAATCCAAGACAGTCTTAGATTCTAAATTCAACACCAGTGGATTCCGGATTCCATCTACTGGATTCCGGATTCCAATCGTCAGTGGGCTCCGGATTACTAGAGTTGTGTTCCGGAGTCCAAAGCCCAGGATTTTGGATTCCATGGGAAGAAATTTTGTGTATTCTAGATTGCACGAGCAAAAACGTCCCGGATTCGGGGGCCAGATTCCCTTATATGGGGGGATAAGGGAAATGTGATGTTGGTCACCCTTGCGACCTAACGGGTTAAGAACCGGTTAAGCCCAAAGCCGAAATTAAATAGGTTATGGCCATAATGTCGGAGTATAGATTTTGTGGGACGACCAAGAACAGAAGAAGTTGAGTGAAAGCGGTTTATTACTGAGCTTCTTAGTACTCCAGCAAGTACATAACTAAGTTTCCAAGTGAGTCTAAGTGAAGTTAAGCTTACAAAGTGGTCGTATTTATACTAAACTATTAAGTTAATTGGTTTTTAAAAAGGGTCAATAGCATTTTTATGCACAAAATAGATGTCTGCAGGTGATGTGAGTTTGCTAACAAAAGAAATTGAAATTCAGCTAAGTAAGGCTACACATGGCGGAATTTGTTAAAAAAAAAAAAAATAGCGATAGCTTTATGACCAGATTCGGATACAAGTATCCACTCAAAATTAACCGTTAGTTGTGAAATGAAATAAAAGAGAGTTGTGAAATTTGAAATAGAAACGAAAAAATGTGCGTCTACAATAATAGCGCAAAGACTTTCGGAATTTGAAACATCTCATGTGTGGAGCCTGGAGAGGCTCGATATGCTGACGGTGTTTTGAGCCGAAAAATCATCTCGCTACGTCCAACGGGGAAAACGATAAAAAAATCCTCACAGCGTCGACTATTTGCTGTTTTTTTTTTTGATAAAGTTACGGCAAGTGGAAGAATGAGCGGACAGTATGTCTACGATTGGAGCTTTCGCGGTATATTGTATACTAAATTCAGTCAATAAGGCTGTGAATTTGGCTCGAAACTGGGCGTGGCTAATCAAGTGACGTAGTCCACTCCCGAAAGCAAAAGAGAAATATTTTTAAGTAGCAAAAATGCTTAAAGCATTTAACTTTCGTAAGTGCTATTGAAATAAGAGAAAGGGATCTGGGGACCTCCTAGCGAAAGATATATCTACGTCAGGTTAAAAGTTAGTCGTTAATCTAAAACCATAATTAATGAAAAAACGTTTTCTGAAGAATTTTTTTTCGGGGGGTTCCAAATCGCGTGTGTCCCAGAACCGATATGAAGTCAATATATAGTGGATCACGCTGGGAAAAAAAGTGGTAAAAATCGGCCAAAAGATTGAGTGGGGGCGTGATAGGCACAAAACATTTTTGGAGTTCTTGGGGCTATAACTTTCTTTCCTTCAAGGGCATGACACTGAAATTAATACAGGCAACAATACTTCACTCCAGGAAAATTTTGGAATAGGCGTTTTGTTGGTAGAGAGTCACGTGACCCTCTAGTGGCCAATTAAAAAATCAAAATTCCCAAAGACTTCTCCAAGAGAATTAAACCTGAAAGTGTGATACTTTGCACAAATATAGTGCACATAAAATTAAAGAACTTGTCCGATTTGGAATCTCAAATTTCATTTTTGTGACGTCACAATTGATGACGTCACAAAATGGACTTTTTGGTCATGCGCAGTACTAACCCAAAAAATGTAGAATTTGAAAGAAAAACTTAAGATAAATAGAAAGTGAAAGTCTCAACTCATTATCTTCTATAGTTTAAGAGATATTTGTGACATTCCACGCATATTTTTAAACAAACTTTGGACACATTTTGTGGCCGATTTTTAGCACTTTTTTTCCCAGCGTGGATGGTATAGATGATGTAGTGCTAAGTTCGTCTACGAAAATGCATTCATAAGTAAGCAAAAAATGGAACACAAGTCCTACTTTTTTAAAATTTGTGTTCTTCCTAATTCTACAAGGACTCTTTACTTAGTCAGTTCTTAACAAGGCGAAGAACTTCTTGTACGCGGTTCCTCCAGACCTGATGAACCTCATCCCTGTTGAGAGCAGAGCGTACCCAAGGACTGTCAGAGGTTGCTGCCTCATTAGTGGCTCGTTCTGAGCATATGCTGTTGTAAGTGCACAAAAGGTACTTTGACCAAGGAGGCAAGACTCCCCAGTGAGCATCTGCGAATTCATCGAGAGCGCGGACGCTTGTGAAGACGATTTGCAAACCGTCGGGATCAGTAATGCTCAGGTTGTAGTCACCTTTGTTGATGCGATCGATGAAAGCTTTCATTTCACCCTTTGGGGCAAATCTGAGGTTCAAGCGATCAAGAACTTCTTTGACAAAATCCTGACAGTTGCAGCCGAACGGGCCCCAGAATTTGCTGCGGTTGTAAGTGGTGCACACTTCAGCAATTTTGTAAAGCGAGGTGTGGTTGGCATACCCAAGAAAATAGAGAAAGAATTCTTTGAGACGACCATACCACTCGATCAAGGTCGAGATGGGATGAAGAATCCCCTCAATAACTCGTCGAAATAGGGATTTTTTCTCCACTATAATCTTGGCCAGGATTGCGCGCACGCTGTAGCCAGGATACACAAGAGATGGTGAACATGGACCTACGCCCCACTCTACCCTCAAACCTCCAACGTCGAGGCCAGAATGAAGAATCCAGCCTTCTTTAAAGCCGCCGAATCTAGCCAAACCCCTGCCAACAAAGTTGTTGAAGGATCTGTTTCCTTGCGAAAAAAATATGCTGACTGGTAACGCTCCATCTCCGTTAGCTGCACTTAGGCGCAGAGCCTCCAATCTACGGGCTTCCTGGTTGAACGCGTCTTCTATATCACCTCCTCTTCTCATTTCAATACGTATGTGTTCATCCATCTCGTGAAGTTCGTTTTTAATGGCATCAAAGTCGAATTTACCCTTGAAGAACGTCTCAAAGAAAAGGTCTGTGTCCCCTAGGCAGACTACCAGCTGTACCCGATCTTTAAACTCCTCAACATGATAGTTGTTCTCGGTAAGTTTATCGTTGATCGTGTTGTACCAGTCCGGAAGCATTAGAAAATTTTCAAGATCCGCGGGGTTACGCAGTGCACCATCTTCAGCCATCCAATAGACTTGTCGAGCGTATGTGTCTGAACCATACCTCACATTAGGTTGGATGGCACCTGAGATCCCCCTAAGAGGTGAACAAATTCTGCTTGGTCTTGCCTCAACTGCACCCATACTAGAAACACCGAAAAAAACAGTCATACAGGATATTACATGGCCGCGCGGAGATACTCAATTTCTCTTTGTGGTTGAACGAGAAGAAAAATTTTGCATCTAAGCGGCAGCTATGTAATGTTCTATTTATTATTATAAACACCAACGAAATGCCTAACCATTTCAATTAAACAGTTTTTTTGCTGCGAAAGGCGCGAATTATTAGGGAGTTTTAAGCAACGGCATGTTTGAGCGACACACGTCAACCGGAAGTGAGTCCTTTACCCCTTAAATATGCCTTGATGCTACCAAATTTGTATTGCTAAGTGTCTTTACTCTGATAGAGACGATCTGCTAGAAAATTTGTTCAAAATCACGGCCCAAAATTGCAAAAAGTCCACTTCCGGTTGACGTGCGTCACTCAAACACGTAGTTGCTTAAACTCCCCTATGTAGCCGTTGCAACGGTGATCTTTTCACATGTGAAGAAACCGTAAAATTCCGAAAATAAGCCCCGGGACTTATATTTTTCAAAGGCCTTCTTTGAGGGGCTTATTTTTGGAGGCGCTTACATTCGGAGGGGCTTATCTACGGAGAGAAATTTGCGTTTCAAAATCGATTGGGCTAGCCTTATAGTTGGAAGTAAATTTGCCGTTTTTGCTTTGTTTTACTTTGTACTTGAGGGCAATTTTCCAATTACAAGCCCCCCTGGGGGCTTGTATTTGGAGGGGCGATTTAACGGAGGGTTTCTTGCCTTACCGGTTTGGGGGCCTTATATTTGGAGGAGCTTATACATGGAGGGGCTTATTTTCGGAATTTTTCGGTATCATGTGTTTGCGTGAAAGCTCACCTGGTATTTCATTGCTGTTTATATAATAATATGCATACCTTGTCTACCTTGTTTTAAGACTCACAACATTTTACTTGTTCTCAATATTGTTATTTGAGACAGTTTGTACCGCTTTCGCAAACGAGATTGGTATTTAGCAAATCAGTGGAAAGCAATTTTCGCACTTTTTGATTGGCTTCCTACTTATCTTGACGACTCGTTTCGCGACACTGTCGTGACTGTCATGTGGTTACGGTAAAGAGGGTCTCAATGGGGTTAACCGATAGGCGTAAAACGGCCAAAAATTTAGTCGATAGCCGTAAAAATTGAAAAATTTTAACCGTTAGCCGTAAATAGGGTAAAAAAAAGTTAACCGTAAAAGAAATTGTTACCTACATTTGCTACTTTTAAGGAAGGTGCTAAACGTACTTATGGTTGCGTTTTTTACTTCCCGGCTAGTGTGACTCCGTACGCACGTTAGGCGAAGCGCCTTTTAGGTGTTAACCAAGACCTAGGCACACGCTTGAGCTAGAAATTGATCATCCTTCTGAGACTAGCCTGTGTACAGTCGCGCCCTCCCCACAGACACCCCTTCTCTGATTTTTCTGCGGGGGAGGGGGCAGCTGTACACTGGCTATCTGGAGCGGATAATCCTGTCTTCAAAAGTCAGGCGGATTGTTCATTCAAAATTAAAACTATTCCATTTTCAGATTAAGACGTATTACCTATCTGAGGCGAATCAACAAACGAATAACCCGTCTCACACGAATAATCCTTCTCTAATGTGAAAACGGCTATTTCTGCTATAATGAATGTCGCGCCCCGGCCTTGAGTTAGGCGTTTGCGTGTCTGCTTTTGCTTTTTCACGAAGATTATTTTCAAATTATCTATTGACATTTCTATGTGTCAGGAGCCCCTGTATGTGTAAAATAATGTGTTAGAAGTGGAATACTTTTTAAAAAGTATGATATATAAAATGTTAAAATTTTTCAAAAGAATAGCTTATTTCATCCCGAGATGATCCGAAGACCTTTATCTTGATTTAAAGATACAAAAAAACGGGTTAATTAATATTTAACTTTTTGAAACAAAAGAAGTTAATTTTTAACTTTTTCGTTAACCGTAACTGAAAAAAATTAACCGATAGCCGTAAAAGAGCCAAAATTTTAGCCGGTAACCGTAAAAGCCACCACCCCATTGGGACCCTCGGTAAAGGACCGGAGTTGTACCCAGAAAGCGACGAAATTTAGCCTGACGGTGTTTACCGGCAGCAACTGAATTTGCAACAAAAATTAATCGTAATTTAATTGCAGTTGACAAAATCTCCGAAATATTTGTAAACATTGCCGATAAAAAATTAAAACGTTTAAAGAATGTTTTGACTAAGTGACGTGTTTTATTCCGGCAAAAAAATAGTATATCATTTCAATTCAATTAATTTGGAAAATGCTAAAACGACTTAACAAGTTTCATACTTGTTTAAGTAAAAAATGTTGAAACAGTCTAGTGATGAATGAAGGCAATAAGACAAGACCTATGCTTGAGGATAACAAAAAAGTGCTTCGCAGTTGTAATATATTTTTTGAGCAACTGCAAATTAATCCGCCAATTTTTCAGGGTTTCAACGGGATTTTAAACTATGTCCTATGTCCTCTTAGCGCTGCAGTGCTCTATCAACTGAGCTATGAAGACCCAATATATCGGCAGCATAGTGAATTTTTCTTAAAATCTTAAACAACTGACAAGTTGGTGGCGGGATTAAGAAAAGAAATCAATCAAAAACGTGTTTCTGTTTACCTCCACTTCTTGAAAAATAAAGAAATCAAATGAAGTACAGTAGAACCTCGATATAACAAAGGGCTAAGGGACTGGCAAACTGTGTTTGTTATAACGAGGTTCTTTTTGATATTGCCATATATTTTACTATTTTTGGGCGGGTTAAAAAATATTTGATCGTTATACCGAGGACTTCGTTACATAGAGGTTCGTTATATAGAAGTTCCACTGTAATATACATTTTCATATCATATCTTTCCTGGAATGAGAATCTTCCAGCATCTTAATTTATTATTGGTCCGTTTCCATTCTATATTTGATGCGTAGTAAGGCTCAAAACGCCTCTCTTTACAGATAGACTTCTGCGTTTTCAAACCAGCAAGGCTATGTACATATGCAACGATGCAGCTGGAATGGAGTCTTTGAGTTAATGAAGGTTCTTGATTAAATCTGAAGACTACTCCACGGAACTACGGTTTCTTAAAACGAATTAAATGCAAACGAATCTCGCCTTTGTAATAAAAACTACCTCGTGCTTCCGAGAAACCGAAAGGACTCTAGCCTTAAAAATTCAATAATTATTAATGAATCCCACCCTTTTCGGGAAACGGTAACAAAGTCACCGTCTGTTTATTGCTCGCCAGCAGCGCCTGCTCTACTCTATCATATGATTTTATAGCAACGAATGTATACATGCAAACAAACTTAAATGCACAGCGAAATAAAGACGGTTTGAATTTGTTTTAGGTTGGCGGCTTATGATGCAGCACTAAACTCACTGTGACTTCAAAACATTTATTATCGAGTTTTGACAATACGGTATTTTCCCTTTAAGACAGGTGCACTCAGCGACTGTTTTCTTCAAAATATCTGTTCGAAGAACCAAATATTGACTCAAAATTTCCACAGCTCGAGAAAGGCTGAACATTCTAGATTTCCAGTTTTATCGCAGATTTTCGAAAGTTTCAGAAGTTTATAGTAAATTAACTGCCGCGCTACGATTTTCGCCGGAAGTTGAAAACAAATACTACTACCAACCAGAGCAGACTACTAACTATTAGTTTTCGGTGAAGCATGCATTTGAGAGGTCTTATTTGCATTCAGATTATGGCAGCTTTTGCAACATTCAAAGGCACAGAACGTTTCAAAAAAGCATGTTTTAGACATAAAGAAAAAACACGTCCAAACAAATTTTCTGCTCATAAGAATTCAGAATCGAGCTTGATTTGGTGAGATATGTCCAGGATCGATCTTGTTAGCAAAAATTTGCTAGCAAATGTTTTTCGCAATTGTCGCAAAAGAAATAATTGAGAAAAAATTATGTCAGAAAATCACTAACAAAAATCGCAAAAATCGCAAGAATAACAAATCTAACAAGAATCAAGACTTAGAAAAAAAAGAAGCCAAAGAAGGGCCCCGAAATGTCCGCAAATATCGCAAAAATCGCAAATATAACAAGGATTTTTCTTGCTAGCTACAAACACCCATGACAAATATCGCAAAAATCGCAAAAATAACAAAT